AGAATTATGAAAACTGCTAGGAAGACATAGCTTTGGAGCAATCCTTAATTCTAATAAATTATAAACATTCTATAGATGCCAAGGTTTAATGGACAGGACAAAACAGACAATTATTCAACAGACATAGCTGCTATTATGGCATCATTTGGTCATAAATTACCATGAGTATGCCAATAACTACCTAAAAAAGACAACATTCTCACTTTTGAGGTTCTAAAGCACTGTCAGTTAGAGTGTTGGTTCTTTACACGATGTTATTTGTTTGGTCACGTCGAGCGAATGGCGGCTGTGGGTTCCAATTTCTATCCACGTGTGAAAGTCCAATGACCTCTTCACTCATAATTCCAGTCGACCCAGCTGTAAAGTACAGATAATCTGGGAAAGATCAATGCCAAGGGGTTTGGCCATCTGGTAGAAAAGATCCTTAACTGTGAACCTAAGTCGTTATCCTTGTAAAATATACTTGTTTCTTTCTTTTCTTTTTTCCATTGAATGTTAATTGCGGGTAAATAGACCATCAAATTTCAAGTTTGAAAAGTACGACAGATAGCTAAAATCAGGCTCCATTAACAAGTCAATAAAATATTTTGACGACTTCAATTTTAGCAACAATGAAATATGCATATTGTGACAACATAAAAAAATTGTAACAGATAAGCAAAATGAAGGTTATTCTCTTATCATAGTTTACTCTACAAAAATAGTTTTCACAGATAGCACCATTTATAACATTTTGTCTTGTAATACCAGGCAAGGTGAAAGTTTTTTTTAAATTTCATTAAATATTTAAAATTTTAAAGATTTTCAGCACATTATTGGGCAGATAAGAACAAACCAACACACTTTGTGGACAACTTTGCCAGGTTTGTAACTTGTCCATGCTTAAAGATAGGTTCCCTTATTTTCATTTATGAAAATGAAAATGATAATACTTATATGAATAGAAAGTAGAGGTGTTTCTAATGACTTGGAAAAATACCATTTTGTCTCACATATCTATAATTAATTCATAATTAGCTAAATTAGAAGAGAATTACCAGCAGAATTCCCATGAGTGACCGATCAAGAAAGGTCAAAAAGTCTTCTTTTTTTTCTCCAGACTGTACATACTTGGACATTTATGATTGGTTAAAACTCTGAATCATATGCTATAAGAACATTATGATATGATTAAGAATACATGATAATTTACTAAAAACACCAATTAATCAAATAGTTTGCTTAATTTGACACTAAAATATAGGAAACCCATCTTTAAGATCTCTAACTGTATTTTGGATATCTTACATAAACAAATGAAACTTTTGTCCACAATTGCTTAACTTTATTCCTGAGAAGGAAATCCTAGAAAAAGAAATGCCAGGAACTTTCTGAATAACTTCCATTGCTTTCAGGCTAGTGTGGAAACACCTACCCATCTCACTTGATTTTACTGAGTCATCATGATTTGATTTTATTTTCAATATTGAATTCTTAAAATTATTTGATTAATGTGATAATGAGTCTAGCAGTAATTGTGAAATTAGGCTACAATAAAATATTTAAACTATTTTGACCAGTGGGTTTAATCTCATAATATTTTTCTAATATTGTCAATCATAATGAAATAGTGTACATTCATTCAACTTGATATCAGAAGGTATGTAGGTAACATTTAGTTGATTATGATTTAGATTTTATTTCAATATTTTACTAATCCTCTGATATAGATCTTATTCATGCGTTGGCCATGTTGAATCCAGAACGAAGCTCATAACGCAAATCTTGAATAGTTAACGTTATGTCACTGCATAAAATCCCCACTTTGACATCATAAAAGCCCCCTTCTCCAATCTCACTAACTCCAAACTAATCATATTTTACAGCATTAAATTTGGAATTGATGAAGCTATTTAATGATAGTTTCAGATGAATTTTACCTTCACACATTTCTGAGAAAGGGCAGTTTTTAGCCCATTTTCTTGCTGTTGAGTGAGTGTTTAATGACGTCAAATTGATGTAATTTGTGTTATGAACCTCGCTTTCAGTGTCTCAAAAACGTGGCTTGAATAAGGTCTATTAGACTGCAATAAAATTTTCGAACTAGGTTGAATAATAAATAGGCTAATAAGTAAGCAAATTCACTAAACAGATGCATATATTTCTTAATGCACTACTGCTTGTGTTTACTAATTATTTCTACTAGTCTATTTTTATTAAAGGATGAATATTGACAAGGAAAATATATTATATTCTTTAACAATCTAACTGTAGAGGTCTACACTATATTCTATGAAGCTGTTCTATATTTGTTACCTTGGCCAGTGCTTTAAATAGGAGACTTCTTTCATCAATACCGGTAGAATGGGTACTCAGAATAATATTTTATGATAATCTTTTGATTTTTAGGTCTTAATTAAAAGTTCTACTCATCTCCTTTCTAACATACTATTCGTAGCAATCATGAACAGTGCCCTCTGTTCAATAGTCACTTATTACTTTGCAACCTCTCTAACCATTATGATTATTGAACACTTGTCTTAACCATAGGCCAGTGCCAAAACCATTAATCTGTGCCAGTGCTTTCTGTTGACTGCTTGTTACCTTCCAACTACCCTAATCACTATAATATACAGGTATTCAACTTTAAAAGGTGTTAAAAGTTAAAAACAGCATACCTTATCAATAAGCCACACCTTGACATGCCTCTATCTACGCTATTATCTACAGGTATTTACATATAGGTAAACTATGCAACAGGATTGTCCAAGACAATATTCCACTGATGACATAGATTGTCTTCATCATGACTTAATTTCAGTGGAATCTCAGACCATACTCAGCAGAAACACAAAACTTCCAAAAGTCAAGTGAGCTCAAATTTCAGTGACATCTTATTATATATATTTGGCATGTTACATAAGAGAGTTGTAGTTTTTGAAAACTCCAGTAGCTGGTGATTGAACTTTAATCAAAAAAAATGAAAAGGTTTTTTTAAAGTTTGAATACAGTTCATTAGATGATTAAATTGTTTCTCTTTTTAAAATGGGGGTTCGAATGTCTTTTAAATTGTTAATACAGTTTATTTCATACTTAAAATTGTCTCTTTTAAAACGGTGGTTTAGTTTTCTTTAAAGTTTGATTACAGGTGATTTGTTGTTTGTCTATTTAAAATGGTGTTCAATTTTCTTGAATGTTTAAAACAGATAATTTCATGCTTTAATTTGTGTATATCTATAGTGGGCATCAATTCGTTTTAAAGTTTTAATACAGTTCATTAGATGCCTAAATGGTGTCCATTTAAAAAAACAATCGGTCGAAGTCATTCAAGCTTGAAGTGCAAAGGTGTCACATTACATGGCTGTATCACTAAAGAAAAACGTGGATGATATTGTCCTATGGAATATAAGGTAGTCACTGAAGACAGGTATAAAAATAGAGATCTTCAAGATGAATGGACTTAACATCTCAAGTCATCATTTTCGCAATATGCTCTATTGTCAATTACTTGAAAAGATCTAACATAACTCACCTTCGTAATTAGTCCTCTATCTTATAATGATTGCACGGTTAATTAATTAATTGTCACAAAGTTTACACCTGTATATAGCACACCTGTAAGAAGTACGTTCTAACCGATATACCACACTTGTCATTCGTCACAGTATGGCTACCTGAGCTACATCCACGCCATCTACCTTCAAATATGATTGTCATTTACAGGGCGGGTCGTAAAATGGACAGTTACCAAACCCATAGATAATTTTATCGAAATTTAAACCCTTTTTAGACAAAAATATGATGTATTCACGTAAAATAAATATTGGAATAAGATGATATCTCTAAGCGAATAAAAGAAAAAGATACTGTAACAATCTTCAACCCTTTAAAAAATCCCGCGCTTTTTTTATATCAATATGTTGATAGCTTTGGGTGTATAATTTTGGCGGGTTTTAAGAGATATTGAGTCATAACTCATTTCATAACAACTTTAAACATTTGAAATGAACTCCTGTACTTCTTTAAATCTTTGCAATAAATTGATTGTTTAAACATATTTTATTGGAATTCAAATGGATCAAGTACAAGTTACGAAAACTTAGATCACTCTCTCCAATAAATTTATATTTGAAATATTGTTCATACATTACTTTCACCTTCTCCCTCTCCCTACTCAGCCCACCTATTGATTCATGCAAAAGCCACTGATGGAGATGATCTGTCAAAATTGGCGTCCTTTATTTGGACGTTTAATTATTGTGGTCAAAGGGAGACAATGAAAAACAAGAGTTATTTCCCTTGCATTGCTTTACGCTGAATTTAATTTGTGACAATTTTGTGACTGCATTAACAGCACAGAAAACAACGGTGCATGATGTCAAATCTGACCAATAAAAACACACACGTATTTTACAGTCGATGAAGTGATGCTAAACGATGGGTTTCAGATACCAAAAATGTTTCATGAATACATTGCGGGGGCTGTTAGCGGTAAGTGTTTACTATAGGTATTCGCTTATTTCAATTAAAGCTATCATGTTGGAATGAAAACATAATTTTTTTTTGTTAAAAATTATGTGTGGTTAGTTTCAAAGTGTCTATATGTTCCCCATCGTAAAGGATTTTCTAAAATTTTCAGTATTTGACATTACGTTTGCATATATATTGAGAGACAACATTGTAATGTGATAACAGGTAAATAGGCAAGAGAATCTGTTGTGCTGTCATCTACATTATTAAACAAGGACATGATAGCTTTAATGTTAATGAATGTTTAAGTCTCTGAGTCCCTGTTTGCATTCCCCTGCAAATATGGGATTATCAAAAGTAACAGCTACTAAATCTATAGACCGAAGACTTCAATATTAGGCAAATAACATTCAGGTAAAAAAAATTATTTATTGGGCTTTTTAAGATGTTTTAAGATGTACAATATATAAGGCAGTAAGCTTATTCAACTTAATCACTTAATGTCCAGATTCTATTCAAAATATAAGCATGAAAGAAAACTTATGACTTTGATTGTAGGGTGTGCTGGAATGGTTGTGGGTCATCCATTAGATACAATTAAGGTGAGTATAATATAGTTGTTTTCAGTTAGAGCACTGGCTGTGGCATCAGAATTTTATTTACATTGTGAAGGATTTGAACCTCAGGCACCTTATCACACGGCACACAGCAAACAACAATCCAACTGGCTAACAACTGAACTATTCTACTGATACACATTGCCTCTAAATCTTCTTAATAAAGACAGAGAATATGTTTGTACACAGTATTTGTTCTGTCCACCCTAACCTACTGAATCAATTCTGTGTTTCCATCCATAGCATATGACAATATCTTTCGCTTCAGGTACAGCTTCAAACTCAAGCAGCACATAACAGATACGAAAGCTTAAAGGCGTGTGTTGAATCTGTTAAGAACCAAAGCCTGGTGAGTGTTATTTTGATAAATCTCCTCATAATAGAGGTAAAAAAAAAATTCTGGATTTATGGCACTTGGGAGTTGAAACCTGACACCAGGCCAACTCACAAACCAAGGTTGTGCATCAGACTTTTCTTAATTCAAGGAGGAATCTAACCCACAGCTCCTAATTGCCAATCTGTCAATAATCCAACTTGCTGCAAGTTAAGCTTGTTAGAGTAAATAAATCTACCACTTTCACAAAATAGATTCGCCTGATGTTTACGTTACAATTACGTTAAAAATCTTGTTTCAAATAGATTAAACTTTTCAGAGGTAAATTGTTGTGTACAATTAAAAGTAATTGTTGCCATGGAAATTATATAACATGGTATGTTATAATGAATTACTATATTTAAGATGAATTATCAGATAACACATGTTCACATCTATAAAAATTTTAGCCATAATAATCTATTTCTTATTTTTCAGTCTAAAGGTTTTTACAGAGGACTATCGTGGCCCCTATTGAGCTATGGTGCTATAAATTCTGTATATTTTGGTGTATATGAGAAGTCATTAACCTGGTTAACAGGCCATGGTATATGTAGTAAAAACAGCCATGTTAATATGTTTATAGCAGGATCTATGGGCGGGGCAGCTCAGCTAGTTATAGCTTGTCCTATAGATGTTATCAAAGTTGTTTTACAATCTCAAATACCTCATACTAAAGGTAAAGTCAAGTTTGAGTCTAATTTTATTTTTCTACAGCTTAGTGTGTGTGAAAAATACTAAGTGGGGGCTAAGATTTGATGTATTATTTCCTCTGTACCAGCCTTTGAAGTTATTAATTTCGGTCTAACCTGCTAGAAAATCAAGAGGAAATCTTGACACAGTGTACTCCATTTTGTCTCTGAAAAGTTCGAATAAACCACATATAGTCTCTCAGAATAATTTTTGAATTTCAAAAGCAAATATTTCCCTTTTGTATTAATCAGTTGATGAACAGTGTCTTATGTTGAACATTAACATTTTTCATTTCAGATGAGAAATTAAAGAAATATTATAAAGGACCAGTGACAGCATTCCGTGATATACTTCGAGTACGTGGTATAGCTGGACTATACCGTGGAATAGGTGCTCAATTAATACGTGATATTCCATCCTCAGGTGTATACTTCTTCTCATTTGAATATTTACGAACGCATTTATCAGTGTTCGTATCACGGGACTCAAAGCTTGTCAGTCTGCTAGCTGGTGGTACGGCCGGGGTGATAAGTTGGTTATCAATTCTACCGTTGGATGTGGTAAAAAGCAGACTTCAAGCTGACACTGAACGAAAACTGTTCACAGGATTTTGGAATTGTGCTGTAAAAAGTTATCAGGAAGATGGAATCAGGGTGTTTTTTCGAGGTGGAACGATGGTCAGTCTTCGTGCCTTTCCTGTTAACGCTGTGATATTTTTGACTTATTTTGAGTGTATGAAGTGTTTGAAATGAATGAGATTATGTGTTAGCATAATTTTTCTTTACTAAACTCATTATGTAGGAAGTTGGGTAATTTTGTTTGATTATCACTGTCCTAACTAGTAAGGCTATTTTCAACCAAACATCTTTGATGAACAAAAGTACATGTCCGGCAAATATATCCAGATCAACATTTACATTAATCAAAGTATTGTTAGTATCAAAAGGAATTCAAATAAAAAATATAACAAATTTTTAAAATCAACAGAAATTTAATTCAAATCCCCCAAAAATAACAATTTAACAATATTTTTTATACTCACAACATATCCAAAATAATTTCTACACTCGAGTCAATTTTCTGAATTGCATAATACGGATGATTTTTTTTTTCAAGTTCATTGTAAGAGATCACATGATCTACAGCTCTGATTAATTGGAACTCTCTAATATGAAGAACACAAACAGCATAACAGTTCAAAATTCCATTTTGAATTCTGTCTACAACTACTATTTTTTGGCACACATGGAACGCATTGATTCCATGAATGAAGAACTCAACAGTCGTATGATCCCTCAGTTTTATCTGCTGCATTTTGACATGAATTGATAGGCACATTATTATTTTACCTCACTTTAGTGACAATAAAGAACATTTTATTTATTTTTGTGTCTTCCATTGTATTCTGGCAAAAGACTAGTCCACTATTGCATGGTTGAAATTTGAATCAGGATTTGGCAGGTGTATGATCTCCATGTAATCAATTTGAGACTTCCAGTCTATTTTCTACGTTTTGTAATATTTGGTGCCTGTAATTTCACTTTGCCAGGAAGATTTCGCGAGATATCAACATCCTGAAAAATAAGTGAAGGAATGCTGGTTTAAAAAAGGTACTTTATATCAAATGAAAATAATTTATATAATAAGGAACATTAGATGGACATGCCCAATAGTGATCAATACTCAAATAATCTACTTTCAGTATAGCTTGAAGATAGTTAACAACCCCAGTTTCAGAATGATATCAAGAGTAGCTTTGAAATTATGAGAATCTCTAACAGTAAAGCGTTAAATAAGGATAAATTCATGTGCGCGATTATACAGAGCACTTCTGGAGATGATCCAAAACATAAACAAGCAGAGTCTACTTTGTTTCTGGGTTCTTGATGGGCACCTTTACCCAACTACAGAGGGCCTCACAATATAATTACCTTTAATATTTTCATTAAATCTTTTTCTCTGGACAAAGCTGTTTTATCATTAACAAACATACTTAAAGCTGTTTTTGTTGCTGGAAAAGAATGGACAAATTGATCAAAAATGTTGAACAAAGACATAAAACAAGAATTTAAAAACAATTATTACTTTACTTTTATTTGACATCTTAACTTTGGAATTACAAAGTGCAAAACTAAATTGATTCTAGAGAGTTGAGGTCATACCATCTCTTGTTTGAAGCCAACGCCAGTCAAAGCCGTTCACTGATCTATCAAGTTCCACAAAAGCAGATTTGCTATATTTCTACAATGCTATTCAACTATATTCTGTTAATCAATAAAAAATTCATTACCTTTTCCTCTCTTTGTATTACCAGGCAAAACTTTCACTTTGTACCTATAATAATTTCCAACAAAAATAATTCATGAATTTAAAATCTTTTTCAATGAACACATTTAAAGCTATCATGTTCAAATACAATTTGCTAAATCTGCCAATTACCATACTGAGTATGGTATGAGTATGTATGAGAAAATTGATGCCACTTACATATTATACTGCTGACCAATACATTGCTATTTATAAATTGTTTAATTTTCAACAAGGGTCCATTTTTCCATCCTAATATGATACAATTTTAGGAGCATGATAGCTTTAATTTTAATTGCCTGGATTACAGAGCAGTACCTCATAAAGATGTCTACCCTGATCTACTTTCAAAGGACTTTATGTACTTACTTATAATTTGAAAGACAGTTGTATGGAGCACACATTGGAACAGCATAAAGTATTTCATCTTCTGGAAGTGGTAAGCCTGTTAATGATTCCATAACTTGTAAATCCTGAAACAAAGTCCAGACTATCAACTGTCACACTGGATTCTCCAACAGACAAATTAAATAATTCAAAAACAATTTGATGTTAGCATATTTCAAGTCCAGAATTAGAACAGAGCTCTATGTCACACTTCTGAAACTTTGTAAAAAGATTTAAATGCCAACAAAAGTAGAAAATCAAATACTAGACAGATGTATAAGTAGGCACAGCTGTCATAATAATAGCAATTAAGTGTATTTGCCAAGAGTAAGTAAGCTTTATGATCAAAATGATTAAAGAAATCTATTGAGTAAAATAAATTACTGACCCCAAGTTGTTGTGGGACATCTTCATCTCCTTTCTCATCATCTGATAAATTTTCCTGTAATATCAATTATGATAATTAAGTTTGAATAATGGAGGTTTGTGAACAACCCAACACCACTAAGTTAGAGGGTAGGAGGTGGAATCTCAGAACAGATAACTCGGATTGAACAAGATTATTCAGACTCTTTTATATGTTCAGATGTCTGAAGAGGGACCAGTTGTAGATAGTGAACTAGAGTCTTCTGAAGAGATTTATTAACACAATGTATCAGTCCTTACAGTCCTTTCAAGATTTATGTGATAATGAAGCAATAAATCCATTATAATATACAGGGAGAATACAAGTTCAGTACTTGATAAATACTAACCTCTTGTGTTTTCTGTATTGAAGAGTCAATTATAGGTAAGTCCGATTCTGGAAAAAATATTGAAATCATTTACAGGAATGACATCCTAAATAAAATTTCGAAAAACATTCAGAAGAACCCAAAATGACTGGAAATAATATCTGCTTAAACCAAATATTCATTTGTAAATCTGCATTCTTGATATTTGATGGAGATTGCCAACATCGGTGCACAATGGGGGGAATTCTGTCACTAGCCACTTCTTTTTCTATTTTTAACTGTCATAGGATCTTATAAGTACAATGCCTGCAGTTCACGGGGAAGTGAAAACCAAGAGAAAAAAATTCAACTAAAGAAAGCATCTCTCTTGAGATTTAAAAATAGTCCAACTCACCTTTTAAATTTAATGATTCCAGATCCAATATATCAGGTATTATTGGTTTGGGTGGTGGTTTCCCACTACCTAGTCGTTTCAGTTGATTTTGTTTCTGTTGAAGTTCTTTCGCTTTCTTTCCTTTACGTTTTGGTTCTTTCTTATGGCCGTCTGACTGTAATATTCCCATGCGGAGTTGTCTTTCCTCTTCATCTTGGTCTCCATATTTCTCTTTTATTTTCTTTAATTTACTCTGCAAAAAAAAATAGCAAACTATTTTGAATTTTTCCAAGAAAATTTAGAATAATTTTGAAGTTTTGAAGATTTTTGACAGAATAATTTTAACAAATTTGTCAATATTTATAAATAATGATATTAATTTAAAATAAACGAAAAAAAAACTTAGTAACTATACGAACAGCAAAGCAAAACAACAGTTTCGCAGACCTTGGACATTATTTTTTTCACAAATTTGTAAATATTGATAACAAATAATACAATATTTACAGGTTTCTTACCTTTTGACCTCTTTTAGGTGGCTGTTGGGGTTCTTCTTTATTTATCTACAAAAAACAATTTATCAATATGTATGGTATAATATTCTGCACCACAATTATTATATCACGAAATGGTGAAATTTCTGTATGGAAATAGACAATAAATACTCTCTATTGAAATATTTATCTATATTGATCCTATAAAAGATCACGGAACGTACAGTATTGAAATATTGATAAAGATCAAAGAATGCGAAAAATTGAAATATCTATCTATACAGTTCTAAACACTTTCAAGAATTTACCTTATTTTGTTTAACATTTTCATCCTGTTGTTGTTGTTGTTGTTTTGGTTTCTGGTCATCTGAGTCCTCTGTTGTTTTACCTTTCTTCATATCCCTGTAACAAATTTCACTTTTATCTATTTTCAGTTATAATAGTAGCTGACAAGAGCTGTGGGTATCAGTTTTTCAGAATCCAATTCTGACATACAGTTTAAGAATCTTATGTGCAAATATTAATGATATCTTGGCCTTATCTGTTATGACTGCATGTGGGAATGTTAATATTAGCCTGGAAGTGATGACAGATTAACATGTTTTGACTTTCAGGAGACCTAGATGTCAGATTTTCATCTTCACACAGAAATCTGAAATTGAGCTTTATCAGCTGGTTTGGAAACATTTAGACTTTTGTATACCAACATGTCAAAGAATCAAGTGAAATATTGCAATAACAACAAATATAAACAGGCCTGTTCATTCACAAACAGAACCTATAAAATTGTACTCGCCTTCTCTGTTTGGCTGATATTCTTTGTTTACCTACATACAGTTTCTGAAAAAATATGATTTGATTTACTTATTTCTAACAAAACGTTTGTGTTCAAATGCAGAATCAACCATTGTTTAGTTATGTATCACCCAGCTTTACAGCAAAAACAAAGATGGCATCCAATGGGATCATGTGATCCATAATGTTATAAGGTCCAAAATGTTATTTGACATGGTATATACCATTTTTTGCATGCAATTGGAAAGGAGTGATTTGGAAACAGAGCATAAAACTTGCAGATATCCATTATGAGAACCCATACACATACAGAAAGGAGAATGATAGAATTCATGATCTACCTTTTCCCCCAGAATAAGAGGTTTATCGTCACCAAGGTAAATAACTGTATCATCATGTTCAGAGATGGCGCTAGTAGAACTGACATTACTGGACACACTAATACCTCGCTGTAACTCAAACCTGCAATAAACAATAAACTAACTTTTAACTTAGAACCTATCTCTAGCTGTTAATCAAAATGTCATGTGATTAAGCAATTTTTAATGAATAAGTAACACTTGATAAAAAAAATGCTGCTTGGACAAAAAGGTGGTTTAAGTTCTAAACTGTCCTTAAAAATAAAATCGGACACATAATGACTAAAAAGTTATGATCTTACTTTTGACCTTTGACATGTTGTAAATTAATGGCCGTATCTGGAAAGCTACTCTCTGGTTCTTCTTCTTCACTAGATGTATCCTCTTCTTCTTCTATAGTGGTCTCCTTTGAACTTTCATCATTTACAGTTATCCCCCTTTTATCTGACTCTTCAGTTTTTACGTCTGCTATTGCTTCATCAACCTTCACCTTTTCCTGACCTTCACCTTCATCAACCTTCACCTTTTCCTGACCTTCACCTTCATCCTCGCTTCCACTATCATCTGAATTAATATCAATATCCTCAGCCTCACTATCAGCAACTGAATCCACAATCGAGGCAGAATCATCGTCTTCTAATGTTCTTACTTTTCTTTCACCTTTATGTCTTTCTACACTACCTTCCTCAAGCTGGAATAAACAAGATAATATTTGAATTGAAGGGAAACTATCTGCTATCCCATGATCCCAGATTTTTAAAGAAGTTCCTCGATCAAATCTACACAAGGATATTCACCGAGAACAGGTATTACCACCATATTTGTATGAAATATTATCCAAAATGTTATCCCATCATCAAAAACCTAAACCTGAATTTGGCTTACAGTTTGAAGTTATTCAGAGTGTCTAACATTTTGAGAATTTGGAACAAGAAATAATATGATTATGATCCATCTTCTGCTACTCTGGTCAGGCATTTCTTTACCTTAAATTAGAGCAATAAGATCAAGTGTACAAGACAGCACCTACCTTGAAGAGAATACCAAAACCATAAATAAGATAGGAGGGTGGAAGATAATTCTTTTTACCTGTAAAAACATTAAATAGTTACATAACAAATATATTCTTTAACAACGCATATTGCACAAAACATAAAATTACAACTATGTGGAAGACAGAATGAAGAATCCAATTGAAAGCTGATAAACATAAAAAAACAAGAAAACCAAGAAACACCCGTTCAGTATAAGGTTTTATAAGAGATACTCTCTTACAAAAGCACTGGCCTAGGTCAGAAGTGTACTGATGTGTAATGCAATAATTTTATTGTATATTATTAGATTTACTATTAGATAATCTTAACTTACCTCTGATCATAAAGCTACCAGTGGTCAGATATTCTCCAGTAGGGGCTGTTTTAGAGACCTGGTCATGATGGACGTACCAAGCACTAGTTATAACTTTAGCATCCCAAGCTGCGCTGTTACATATAGCCATGGTACCGGCTTCGTTTAATGATTTTGGTGGAATTGGTTGACTAGTATGATTCTTTATAATAACGCTACTGGCACCATGTAGGTCTGCGTGGACATATAAATCACCTACAAAATCAGACATTTTATGATTTGTTGCAGCAAAACCATTGGTATTAGGGGGTGAAAGTCGACACCATATCTACTCTTGGAAGAACTGGCACAGGCATCAAAATTTGTTTTACATTGATGATTATTTGAACCCATGGCATTTTAGATAAACCTTTGCTTTACATTACTTAATAAAGGGTGTTAACAAAATCTGAAGCTTAAATGGGAAAAGTCTGCATTTTCAACATTTATAACAAGTCAGGAAAGGATACATTCTGGCTAAATATTTGGGAAGATGCTAAAAGAAATTTCCCACTAATAAAACAGACAGCATTTGAAACTTTAACATTCTTAATCAACATCAGCTATTTACAACTCATTTCGTTAGTTTTTAAAGGTATATATTTGTCAACAGCATTATTTAATCTTTGGTACTTGCCATTTTCTTTATACTTTTCTAGAAAAAGAGAAGACATGATGACAAACCTGGTTTGAAATATCGTTTAACAATCAGTTCATTCTGTTGAGAATCACGTCCACCAATAACTAGAAAATTCTCTGAACTGATGAACCATAAAAACTTCTCAAACCTGTATTATAAAATGTTATAACAGCTACAATTCTCAAAAGATTAAAAAACGGGGGAGATCCATAGTCCATAAAGATGTCATAGTAGACTAAATACAGTGCAATTTTCAATAGGCCCTACAGCTAGAAACTTTTGCTATATGATCACACTTTTGTTAATCTGATTGATATGTAGATCTACAAACTTCGCTTTGAGTTTTTTCTGCAGTTATTTCACTTGTCATCTATGATCAAACAAGATTTAACTCCATTATGCTACAGGCATGTTATCCCAACAATAGAACTGTCCTATATATAGATGAAATACTTACCAATAAGTTTTTCTGGTTTTATTGATAGACACAGCAGTAGCTACTTCCTTCAACTGTTTCATAGCTTTCTTCTCAGCTGATTTAAATGCTTTGGATGAAGCATCAGCAGTTTTCTGTTCTTTTTTCTTGGCTGTCTTTTTCTTTTCAAAATATCTATATAAGTATTAAAGCGAAAGTAGTTTAAGAAAGTCTTAAAATGGCTCTCTTAGCAATCTTAGCAAAAAGTAACTTAACGTTACACTGAGTAATAAATTAACATCGACTGACTAAGCACTATAGCTGGCAATAAAATTTTACAGTTTGTTTTTAAGTGTATCCGAAAACATATCAGTTTCAAAAACGTACTAATGAAGCTAATAGTCCCATTCATGTAAAAATAATCTGCAATATTTTTTTTACCATCAAAAGGACAAAAGTGTCGCTTTCTATATCTCTATGGCAAAGGTAATTCTTTCTTTACATATTGTGGGGGGGAAACACCTCTATTTTTGTTCAACTCCGAAGTCTTTATCCTGACCTGAAGAAGCATTGTATATATGCGCCAATTTGCCTCAGTAAATTAAAAGTTAAAGTAGAGAGATTTTGACTTTTTATCTTTATCCAAGGCAAAGGTATTTTATAATATTCATTCAATACTACCTACTTTCTTGAGTTAGCGTAAGCACTCAATGATAAATCTAAATCTATACGAAGAGGTTTTAATGGTTTATATTCTGACACTTCATCTTCACTTCCACAATATGGATCACTAGAAAATAAATATATTAATCAATGATAAAAATGTCATAATTTTATAAACCTTGTTGATTGTAGTGAATAATTGAAAGAGAGCTCCAAATTATGCAAATTTTAGAGCATAATGCACACAATGATAACAATGGCCAATTGTGGGATAGCACAATATATCGTATATTGCTTGACATTGGTTTTAATATTCCACAACTAATTGTTAATGTTATCAAAATATAGGTTAGAAATAATGTCATTAGAATGGGACTGTGGTAATCAACAATAATAAACTAACAAATTGAAGATAAGAGATTATTTGCCCCATACCTTAATAACATTGTAATATGATTGGTGTCCAGTTTGATTCCTTTGATTGCCATGGCAACAGGATCACGTGATAGTTGCGCTTCTTTAATGAGATTCCAAATTTCGTTCCAGTCAATCTGATTAGCTATAGCATTTCTGACAATCAATATTGCTTGGTCAACCTGAAAATATAAAACAGAACATGTTGAACAATTGAGCAATTTTACTGGTATGTTCAAATGGTGCTGTTTTCCTATGGGTACGCCATGACATGTTTCAAGTCATGAACAACAGCAAATGTTTGTAAGTCAATCACTTACTATCCTGATTATCAAATTAGTGATAAAACAGGGCTGAACTCAGTGGTAGCTTTTAATGTTGGCAAGTTTGTCACACAGTTAGGATGAAATATATGAAGTCATTTAGTAAAATAAATTTGTAATAAATCTAATGAAGAAGACTTACTAGTGGAAGATTTAGTTCTATCAACTGTCCTTTCATAGCATCTGTTTCCTAGAAATAAAGAATTTGGTTAACCTTTTTACAGTACACACAAAATATATGGGTGAATGATACATGAAAATCCCTTCTCAAGTTGGACCACTTAATGTTTCTAAAGCTTGAGACACACATTGAAATTTATGGCTTTTGTTTCTTATCAAAAAGCTTAAAAGAAATACTACCCACAAGATTTTGAATGTCTTGTCATTATCATGTATGTTTGAGGAAATGATGTTAGGAAAATAATAACTCATAGTACTGTTCGTACTGATTTTGAACCGTCTTTTGTTTAAGTACCATTAAGATAAGATTCCATATACACGTCATGCAGACATAAATGGCCCTTGAGGATCCGTCATGCGTCAAATATGATTCCATATGTGTGTTAAACGTATGCATTATCTTTCTTTTGATGCACAGACTTCTAGACAGATGGATGCTTTCATGCATAAAAAAGACAGGAAATCCCCACGGATATCACGGATACCGCTTCCACATATGGATTCATACCCTCTTAAACCAACCATTTCAATTTTTAACGCATGACGTATGACGCATGACGCATATATGGAATCTTAGCTTTATTCTTTTAATACCTGTTCTTGTTGTAAGCCTTGAATTCTCTTTTCATTGTCTTTTTTAACATGTTCTAGTTTCTTTAAAGCTGTTCTCTCCTAGAATAATATATAACATTGAATTCATATATTGTAGCAAGAAATGAAAGGAAATGATGTCATACTTCCTTGTACTTAATTCGGCTCATGAGAATGGGCAATGCCATGCCATGCTCCTCTTTTTCAATTTGCAAATATGGAAGGAAATAAATTGTGTAAGCCTGAAGCCTTGGTTTATTGTCCCATTGAAAAACTAAACATGTGCGTATGTCAGCCCCTCCAGGGTAAAACAGGGTTGAAATATCTAAAGATATTAGCTCGACCCTTGCCAGGAATGAAGCATGGACCCTCAGAAGAGCCATATATATCAAGTAGCATGAACAAAAGATCGAGAGAAAAATGTATGATAGTTTACCTGTTGTAAAGCTTTCATATCTATCTTCTGACTTTCAATCTTAGAGAAAAATTCATCACAAGCCTGAAAAATTAATAAAATAAGATAACACATTGTCTTCTTACAATTACATGGTATTGGGAAAGTAAAACTTATAGTATACCAGTGGGCAATTAGATAAATTCTGAATCACCAGAGGTACTAACAACATTCTTTTCCTTTGCCTTGGAGATCAAGCATTTTTCTCTGTCCTTTAAATAACACCAGACGTCATCTTAACCCTTGGATTGCAAACAAAAATATCAAATTTGAAAATATCTTACTCCGAAATATTAAAGGAGCACCTTCACTATCCGTTCTACCAATCATAACTTAGTTTTATAATCAGTAATAGTGTCCACAGCTCATCATCGAAATTTGGGACTTCAAATCCATGTGTATCCATAATTATTCACGTTTGAAAGTTAAATATTCGACTTTAATTCGAATTTTAGGGAGACTATGCCATATATAGAAAACACATATATAGGAATAGACAGTGAAATTTCTAGTTTGAGGTATATTTGAAGGGATTACGCGATTTTCGTGGGTTTAGTACTTTTTAAGACTATTAAAGCACGATAAAGACCCAAATCATTCCCCAAAAATGCTGACTCTTCCCCTTTAAATCTTATACTTAAAAAATATGATAATGTACCTTGTCAAAAGAAGGGAATTCAATGGTTTCTTTATTAACATTTTGCCGGTAAGCTATAGGATGAAACTCTTCATATGTCAATAAATCTTCTGAATCTCCACCCTTAGGGTTTGGTTTTTTATCTTTCCTTTGTGTGATGTAACCCTAAAATGAATAAAATTATATTTTCATTAAATAACCAACAAAATTAGCAACTTTTAAACACATGGCATTCTGCTAATTTACATGTGACATCTACCTGGGTATGCTTACTCTTCTAGACACCTGATACCACTTTTCATTATGAAATACTTCCTTAATATTTTATATGCTGCTACCAATGTATTGCCAAACTGTTATTTTGGATTTCAGGTTTGGTTTTGAGGTTGGGATAATTACTACTTGTTTTTTATTATGTTTTTATCCTTGAAAGAAAAATGGTAGGCTTTTGTGTCTTGGTAACATAAGTTGCATACACCAAACTTGACACTCTTTGAAATGAAGGGTAAAATATTGTCTAACCTTAGAAGGCTGTGTGAATAACTGTATCAATAACTGTTCAGCTTCTTCCATAGCAATCATTACTTTACGTAAATCTACAAAATAGTTCATAAATTATACCTAAATCTACAAATCATAAGTTTACACAAATCTACAAATAGTTCATAACTTTACACAAATCTACAAAATAGTTCATAAATTATACCTAAATCTACAAATCATAAGTTTACACAAATCTACAAAATAGTTCATAACTTTATGCAAATCTACAAAATAGTTCATAACTTTATGTAAATCTACAAAATAGTTGATAAATGTTCATGTAAATTTACGAAATGGTTCATAAGCTTCCATAAAGATACAAAATACTTTATACACTACAAAAAATAGTTCAAACTACTAACCATCTTCCAAATTGAATCCTTTTCCAATTTTAACATTTTCTGTGAAGCCTACTCCTTGTAAAACATGTTCTATAATAGCTGGACCATAGTCTACAAACACAAATATTTACAAAAAAACTTTACTAGAAAACAATATATATATAGATATCTTTATATTGTTACTTTTGTAAAGTATTTGATTCTATGTATAATTTATCAGTGCCATACATTTTGTTCATTGTTGCCAGTTTAATAAAATCTGCAGGCTTTCTTTACTCTAATTTTCTTTCACACTATGTAATATCTATGACGAATATCATAGAAACATACCTAAATGAGGCAGAAGTAACTTCTTTATAACATCTCCATCTTTACCAGAAGACAAAATTTCTTCTATTCTAAAAATATAACGCAAGTGTCTTATTAGTAGAAAATGGAATCACTCAACAAGTGGTATTTCTATATCGCTCTACAGTTGATGTATTTAGAACTATTTTAACAGTGGTATTTCTATATCACTCTACAATTGATGTATTTAGAACTATTTTAACAGTGGTATTTCTATATCGCTCTATAATTGATGTATTTAGAACTATTTTAACAGTGGTATTTCTATATCGCTCTACAATTGATGTATTTAGAACTATTTTAACAGTGGTATTTCTATATCACTCTACAATTGATGTATTTAGAACTATTTTAACAGTGGTATTTCTATATCACTCTACAATTGATGTATTGAGCACTATTTTAACAGTGGTATTTCTATATCGCTCTACAGTTGATGTATTTAGAACTATTTTAACAGTGGTATTTCTATATCGCTCTACAATTGATGTATTGAGCACTTTTTAACAGTGGTATTTCTATATCACTCTACAATTGATGTATTGAGCACTTTTGAACAGTGGTATTTCTATATCACTCTACAATTGATGTATTGAGCACTTTTTTAACAGTGGTATTTTTATGTTACTCTACAATTGATGTATTGAGCACTATTTTAACAGTGGTATTTCTATATCACTCTACAATTGATGTATTGAGCACTATTTTAACAGTGGTATTTCTATATCGCTCTACAGTTGATGTATTTAGAACTATTTTAACAGTGGTATTTCTATATCACTCTACAATTGATGTATTGAGCACTATTTTAACAGTGGTATTTCTATATCACTCTACAATTGATGTATTGAGCACTATTTTAACAGTGGTATTTCTATATCATTCTACAATTGATGTATTGAGCACTATTTTAACAGTGGTATTTCTATATCACTCTACAAATTGATGTATTGAGCACTTTTTAACAGTGGTATTTCTATATCACTCTACAATTGATATATTGAGCACTATTTTAACAGGGTATTTCTATATCACTCTACAATTGATGTAATGAGCACTTTTTTAACAGTGGTATTTCTATATCGCACTACAATTGATGTATTGAGCACTTTTTTAAAAGTGGTATCTCTATATCACTCTACAATTGATATATTGAGCACTATTTTAACAGGGTATTTCTATATCACTCTACAATTGATGTATTGAGCACTATTTTAACAGGGAGATTTTTTTTTATTGTAAAAATAGACAATACATATGTCATCTGCATCACTTTTTTATATTTTGGTACACAATACAAGGTTTTTTTGCAAAGAAATATATTTTGTTCATTTGAAAGCATTGTTTGAATAAATAGAAAATAATGTACATACCTGTCGTGTGTAGGTCTGATGTGCTGTTTAACTGTGACAGGGTAACTCTCGTGTACAGCAAGGCGGACATCTTGACTTTGGTCTGTACGAGGTCGCAGTATGTTCAATATGGTATACTCATAATCTGTCAGCACTATGTTACCCTAGAAATGTAAATGTTTTAAAACATGAGAGCATCAACAATCATCATTCTTGAAAAGGCATTGATACACTACTTTTGTTTTTATTTGCATAGGTCGAAGCATCACGAGCTTTGGTTTAGAAACTTTTGTGATCTGATTCTAGTAGCCAGGTCAGGAACCTTGTTTCATATGTATGGATATGTTTTCTACCATAAAATCAAGCAATAACCTACCCTGTCATAAAGTTCTAATATCACATGGTAAGCAGCTTCATCTGAACCAAACTGAAAGTCAACAATTCTGTCCATACCTAGTTGATTTACAGCTTCTAATCGCCTATTCTTGATATGTTTACGCAGCTGAAATTAACAATGGTATGCATTAAAGATATAAAGAATCAAATTTTCTCAAACATAACTCCATAGATAGGCATTAGATATTTCCTACACAGCTATTACACAATTTGTTCTTTTCCAAATCCACACCATATTCAACCAAATCAAATGAACACATACATAAGCTTTTATATGCCATAATGATATCACATCAATGTCATTTACTGCAAATTTAGATGAATAAGGCTTTACAGTTTACGTCCTACTTTTCTAACCTAATTGGGAAAATAAAGACAGGCAATTCATGCAGTGTGCAAGGGATACTGGGTTAAAAAATCTGTTGGTATTATCCTTATCTTAGCTAGAATAGTGCCCTAGATCTTTAGGCTAGCGAGTAAGCGCCTAAATCAGTGAGTAACCTTGGCTTCCGTTTTCAAAGAATAATCACACCTACCTTCATTGAGAATCCAGAAGGAGCAGGATTTTTAGGCCAGTCAAAGTCTGTACTATGGAGTCGTATTCCTGATTCTAACAGTAATACCACTTTTTCATCAGGTCTAAAATACAATTTAAAATGTTCAGTATCGCCTATTAAACTTCATTATGAGAGTTTTCATCGTTTAAAAGAAATCCAATTGAAATTATTCAATTTATACCATGTTTTTTTTCCTTCTAATGATGCCTGTGCACTTTTGCATATCATTTAGTGTCAGGTAGCATAGTTCTTAAAAAAATTTTGAAATTTTGAGAAATAGATTGTCTACATGAAAGAAAAAGGTTTGATATTTTGATTCTAAAGTCTAGTCTTAAAACAATCTTTGTCTAGATCAATTTTCTTCTGCCCCACTACAGTGAACATAATTGTTTCGTTTCTTTATTAAGTATCTTTCTAAGTATTACATGTACGGTATATATTGTATGTATTGTGTCCTCATGAGCTGAATGTCAGAAAGGAATACAGGACCATGTCTACTGTGGTGTAATGGTCCTAATTGTGACCAGGTCAAAGTGACCCATATAAATTAAAGAGTTTAATATTTACTTCCTCTTCATTTCCTTGATTTTTTCCTATGGTTTTTTACCTGTTAAGTCGAATCAAATACGTTTTGTTGTCAACATCATAGACATTCACTACTCTCATTCCAATAAACCTACAAATACAACAACCACTAGTTATATCTGACTACAGCACTGATTGTTCCATTCAGAATCATAAACCTTGACTAGTTTAGTAACAGCTGAGACGAGGTGACTGAGAGGGATTCAAAGTTTAATATAAAAACTATACCCTGCTTCTGGAAATGGAGACGATTCCGTACCACAAATAGATTTAATTATGATATTTGGAGTAATTTCTATATTGGGCCTATGCCTTGGGGGTTTAATTAGTTTAATTTCACTCTTCCTTCCTTGACATAACAAAATAGAATTGATGGGCAATTCATACTAATTTACTTCATATTACGGTTCAAATGAGTCATAAAAGACAATTCATTCCAGTCGAAGTTAAGATCATTTTATCATTAAAGCCCCATTGAGCCATACCATGGAATTGTGCAATTGTCAATATGAAAAACGAAAAATAAAAAAATAAATCGCAATTAGGAACAAATAAATCATGAAAAGATTAAATAAACCCACCTTTTCCATTCTTTGACAATAGCAGCTATATCCACTGTACTAAATCTGCTTTTCATTTTGTTAGTTCGGTGAAATGATACAAGATAAATGGATAAAAAATGAAAAATATTTCACGAAGTTGTCATCAATTTACATAAGGTGGCCATATTGTTCTATTTTTAGTAAGAATCACAATAACATGATTTAATTGGTTAAGAATATTTCGATTAGCCAATGAAAATACAGTTAAAAGGGAAACCCAAAGCAAAAGATCCTGTTTATGTGGTGCACGCAAACAGTCAAATTCAACAAAATATACCAAGAATTACAAACTATTAGAAAATAAAATTATTCATTTTGAAATATTTTTCAATTAAACTTGTGGATCCATATCTAAAGGATTGATTACTATTCTTATTGCTCCAATAAACTAGAATAAATTGTTGTGATTTGTGAATAGGATCAGATTTTTTCGGACAATTGGTATTAAATTTTGCTAAAAAAAGAATGAAATCATTTGCTCTTACCCCCAAATAACCTAATGACATTTTCATTATAGCCTACCACACTAGAAATATGTATATAACTTTATGTAAACCTTACTGGTAATTTAGCGTGTTATTCCCGAATTTGGATAAGCATAACAATGAAATATATGATTTATTCGGAATGTAAGAGGTCGTATTATTATGTGAGCGGAGAAACATAACTATCTTTTATTCGGAGGGGACAGATGGAAGGGATACCATTGGTAGAACTATACATTTCTAAACGAGAATTTATCATTAAGATATTTTATTGTTCAGGGTTACAAATATATACATCATTATAAAAATAGCTGTAAAAAATCTTCTATAATAATTACAAAAATAGCTGTATATTGTCATTTCATTCCCGAAAATAGCTTTACATTATACGATATCATTAGTATATATTACCGATGCATCAATACATCATTGGTCTAATAATAGAAGGAATTAGGCTGTACAATACATCAATATCTGACAAGTCATAGCTGGATCAATGAGGGAAGCAACAAAGCCAAGACCAGTTGATACAGCGGTGGATACCAGCATATTACAAGTTGTTTGAAATGTTGGTAAAAGATTACAGGAAAATTTCTCTATTCCAGCTGTGATAGCACCAACTGTTTGTGGATTGCTTAATCTTGTTTTAACATCAGTAAATAGGGTGGTACAATCAGAACATAGATCTATATCACCTACAGTCTGTGACATCACTTCCGGTTTGAGGTATAAAGTAGACTGGAAGGAATCGTGAACCATTGGTGGCATTTGACAATATCCCAAAATAGTACAAATTTGTGTTGGTTCGATGAAAGAGGCCATCATTCCTAGACCAGCACCAATTACTGTTGAAACTAGAGAACGACATGTTTCTTGACCAATTGGCATCAAATTACAGGAGTATTGCTCGACTTGAGCTACAATAGCTTGAATTGTAGCTGGATCAGTCAATCTTGTCTTGACATCAGTAAAAAGAGTGGAACAATCAGCACAGAGATCTGTGTCACCAGCTTGAGCCTTTCCATGAAGAGTGAAGAATCGATCTAACAGTTCAATATGTTCAGGATGAAGCAACACTTTAGGTGGTGTTGGAGCAGCACAATATTGTAACATGGCGCAGGTCATAGCAGGATCAACAAGACCAGCCAGAGTAACGAGCCCTTGAGTAATTAAAGTATTGGTGATGGCTTCACAAGTTCCTTTCACCATTTCAACTGGAATCAAGTCACAAGAATATTTGTTTAGAGATGCTACAATACCAGCAGCGAGTTGAGGATTGGCCAGTCTAGCTTTTACATCAGTAAATAAATTTGTACAGTCAGCACAAAGATCTGGTTCACCTCCAACTCGTGATTTTGTCAAGTCCATAAAACGTTTGACGAGATCCATAGATTCCTGTACATGAGGTTCTGGTGGTGTTGGTTGGCAGTATTGTAACATGGTACAGATTATGGTAGGGTCGATGGATTGAGCCATAAAACCAATCATAGTGCCGACAATAGTCTTCACTGTACTTTGACATGTCTCTTTTCCAATAAGCATTAAATCACAAGAGAACTGATTAATCTGTGTTTCGATAGCTGCAGCTGTATTGGGATCAGCTAGTCGTGTTTTTACATCAGTAAATAGAGTTGTACAGTCCGCACAAAGATCTGCTTGTAATGGCGAGGCATTGATAGCTACTGCTAGTACAGCTAATAAGATGAGACTCTTCATGTTGACTGGTGTTGATCGAATGATGATATAGTGATTCAAGATTGAGTTTATATACTAAATTATCTGACCATCAGGTACCCTCAATACCAATAAAACACCCATTATGACTGTAACAAGGATCATTAAGCATGTTAGAGAAGGCGACAGGTCATTAGGGTTCAAAGAGACCTTTACTCCTTTCTGATATTAAAGGAGACAATATATACTCTTAATGATAACAGAATAGACATACACGAGAGTTTTAGAAACTCAAATTGTTCACGTGTTGACAACTGAATTAAGACATGATGAAACTATTTTTTTTTCAAGTTTCAAAAAAATAGTTTTCTTAGAGACAATATTGTACTTTAGGTAAACGAAATACTATAATACTTTATGTTGAAGCTTTTTTTTTTAAAACTATTTTCATTGTACATGTATTTACTTTTCAACCATTTAATAACAAGAGCGGCCTCCAAAAAATACCATAAGCCGGCACAGCTGCAGCATTAAGCTTTTGAAAAGGCTGCATTCATCAATTTTTAGTACATGTATACCAATTTTCAACCAAAGCTCCAGCTCCAGTCACGTACACGTACAACCAATTGTCCAACATATTCTGACTATTATGGGCAATACCTAAAACAAATTCATCGGATATTCGTGAAAATAATATCAAGTGGATATCTAATCAATGATTCCAAGATAATATTGTAAATGCCGTAAATTAGTACATTCAATTGCGGATTTTGACATACAAGTCCATGACAATAACTAAAATACTTAATTACAAATAGTGAAATACAAGTTTTAATCAGATATATCATCTCTATAGTTTTTAAATCTAGGGCAAAAAATCAAAAAATCATACTTTTTAAATTCCTTTATATAATGATAAAGTTGAGATATAAGTATGATATAGGTGATGAATGTTGTAATGATAAAGTTGAGATATAAGTATGATATAGGTTATGAATGTTGTAATGCTAAAGTTGAGATATAAGTATGATATAGGCTATGAATGTTGTAATGATAAAGTTGAGATATAAGTATGATATAGGTTATGAATGTTGTAATGCTAAAGTTGAGATATAAGTATGATATAGACTATGAATGTTGTAATGATCAAGTTGAAATATAAGTATGATATAGGCTATGAATGTTGTAATGATAAAATTGAGATATAAGTATGATATAGGCTATGAATGTTGTAATGATACTGTTGAGATATAAGTATAATATAGGCTATAAATGTTGTGATGATAAAGTTGAGATATAAGTATAATATAGGCTTTGAATGTAGTAATGATAAAGTTGAGATATAAGTATGAAATAGGCTATAAATGATGTAATGATAAAGTTGAAATATATAAGTATGATATAGGTTATGAATGTTGTAATGATAAAGTTGAGATATAAGTATGATATAGGTTATGAATGTTGTAATGATAAAGTTGAGATATAAGTATGATATAGACTATGAATGTTGTAATAATAAAGTTGAGATATAAGTATGATATAGGCCATAAATGTTGTAATGATAAAGTTGAGATATAAGTTTGATATAGGCCATAAATGTTGTAATGATAAAGTTGAGATATAAGTATGATATAGGTTATGAATGTTGTAATGATAAAGTTGAGATATAAGTATGATATAGACTATGAATGTTTATAATAATACAGTTGAGATATAAGTATGATATAGGCCATAAATGTTGTAATGATAAAGTTGAGATATAAGTATGATATAGGCTGTGAAAGTTGTAATGATAAAATTGAGATATAAGTATGATATAGGCTATAAATGTTGTAATGATAATGTTGAGATATAAGTATGTTAAAGGTTATGAATGTTGTAATGATAAAGTTGAGATATAAATATGATATAGGTTATGAATGTTGTAATGATAAAGTTGAGATATAAGTATGATATAAGTTATAAATGTTGTAATGATAAAGTTGAGATATTAGTATGATATAGACTATGAATGTTGTAATAATAAAGTTGAGATAAAAGTATGATATAGGCCATAAATGTTGTAATGATAAAGTTGAGATATAAGTCGATATAGGCTATGAATGTTGTAATGATAAAGTTGAGATATAAGTATGATATAGGTGATGAATGTTGTAATGATAAAGATGAGATATAACTATGCTATAGACTATGAATGCTGTAATGATATAGTTAAGATATAAGTATGATATAGGCTATGAATGTTGTAATGATAAAGTTGAGATATAAGTATGATATAGACTATGAATGTTGTAATGATAAAGTTAAGATATAAGTATGATATAGGTTATGAATATTGTAATGATAAAGTTGAGATATAAGTATGATATAGGCTATGAATGTTGTAATGATAAAGTTGAAATATAACTATGATATAGACTATGAATGCTGTAATGATAAAGTTAAGATATAAGTATGATATAGACTATGAATGTTGTAATGATAAAGTTGAGATACAAGTATGATATAGGTTAAGAATGTTGTAATGATAAAGTTGAGATATAAGTATGATATAGGTTATAAATGTTGTAATGATAGAATTGAGATATAAGTATGATATAGGTTATGAATGTTGTAATGATAGAGTTGAGATATAAGTATGATATAGGCTATGAATGTTGTAATGATAAAGTTGAGATATAAGTATGATATAGGTTATGAATATAATGATAAAGTTGAGATATAAATAAGAGTGATATAGGCTATGGATGTAATGATAATGTTGAGATATAATTATTATATAGACTATGAATGTTGTAATGATAAAGTTGAGATATAAGTATGATATAGGTTGTGAATGCTGTAATGATAAAGTTGAGATATAAGTATGATAGAGG